TTATTAATAAAATTATCACTAATGTGACATTATGTAACATCAAGAATTATGAACCAATTTTTATTAATGGGATTTTATAAATGAAACAGTGTTAATTACCTTTGGATAAATTGTGTTAGTAGCTTGTTAAAAATTGCCTTTGAGAAATCCTGTTCTTATAATTCCTTTTTAATACATTGGAACTAAATTGACTCATTATTATAACTGAAACTCCATTTTAAATTTCATATTGCCCTAACTCTGTTTGAAGTTAAAGCAATATGATCTCATTAAAAGTGTGAATGTGAGTGTGAGTATGTAATGGGATCAGTCCCAATGCCATCCCATCTCGATGACCAGCCGCCAACACCATGATGGCTGAAGAAGAACATGGGTAAGGCCTGCAAAAAAACAACAACAAAAAATGTAACCCCCTTTTTCCTCCCCGGGTTACTCAGGAGTAGGTCACATTCACAGGTGTACCTGGGTACCTGATGGTCTTGACGTAAAAAAAAAAAGATCCTGAGTACCCCAGTGGTGATGTTGTTTGGTTGAACCTCTCCCCCCCCCCCCCCCCTTTGCTGCAGTCCCTTGCTCATAAAGAATGTACAATGGCGGTACCTCCACGTGGCGGGCCCTGTACACACTTACTGGTGTGCCTTGGGAACCTCCAGGAATAAACTTATTCCAGCAATAAACTAAATCTAACTTCAGAACAGCAATTACAAATCATAAATAATATACATCTAATAGATTGCATTAGAATAAACAACCTTTACTTAATTTAAAGAAACAGGATTTAACAAATTAACAGTGAATAACATCAGTTAACCAAGTACACAAAAGTTAAAGGAACTTATCTAGCTGCCATTTGCACTGCCAATATTTACCCCACCCCAGAATGTACATACCCCTGGACTCAGAGTCCCAGACTCTTGCTTGCGTGGGTGCACTTGAAGAACTGCAGCTGTAATGGAGATTCTCTGTAGGTATTGTATATGTGGGTCCAAGCTATGCAGCAGCTCTGGTTCACTGGGTTGGTGTCTCTGCCTCTCTTTGAACCCAGAGTTAGTCTGTTGAAAAAGCTACCAGGGGGAAGCTGTTCTAGATTTGATCCTAACAAATAGGGAGGAACTGGTTGAGAATTTGAAAGTGGAAGGCAGCTTGGGTGAAAGTGATCATGAAATCATAGAGTTCACAATTCTAAGGAAGGGTAGAAGGGAGAACAGCAAAATAGAGACAATGGATTTCAGGAAGGCGGATTTTGGTAAGCTCAGAGAACTGATAGGTAAGGTCCCATGGGAATCAAGACT